GAAGTGAACGTTTTTAGGAAGACTCTTTGTACCAATTAAAAAATGCAGACAATTGGCTTTGCTCATGTTGTGTTCCAAGGTGCCTATCAAATGAACAAGTGTGTTCTTATTGAGAGTTTCCCATTTTAATCCTGCTGGACTCCTGCTTCTGATGTTTATTCCACTGTAACCCTAACCCATGCACTTACCTTTCTAAGAGGCAAATTTCACCAAGAATAATTTAGAATTAGAGCTAAGCCTCTTCTTAATTTTTGACTTTCAGAAATTGTATGAGATAATATATATTTGTTGTTTTAAGTTGCTAAATTTGGGGATAATTTGAAACAAATACAGTGACTTTTCTACTGTTCACTTATTTAAAGGGTAGCATAGGATATTTAAATACAAAAACATTAGCCTATCTTTATTATAAATTTTCATTTTAAGGCCAAAATTACAATATGTATTTGTTTATTCATTAATTTTATACTTTTTCCAAGGTTAACTATGTCCTGGATATACAATAAAGAGTTTTAATGCATACAGAAAGCACTGAATAAGAGTGGAGGGTTATTATTATATGTTTTTTGTCATTATGTGTAAAAAGATGTTTCTTGTCTCATAAGGTGAGGAGATAAGGAAGAATAAGTGGATTAACAACCATACAACACATGATAAAATTTTATAATGCATGCTAAATTCTTAAAATAATAGAGGTATGGATAAATTGCTATGGAATAACAGAGGAGGAAGTGATTAATTTTGCAGGTAGAATGAAGGCAGGAGGTCAGGCCTTAAAGGTAAAGTAGAATTTCCCAAGACAGGAAAGGGTATGGGAAACAATGCATACAGAGGATCTGGGGAACATTCATTCATTTATCCATCCAATAAATATTTATTTAGCATTTTAATGAGTCGAGCACTGTGCTAGTCGTGAAAAATAGTTTCACCAACATTGTTCTACCTTCAAGGATATTATCATCTAATAGGAGAGATAAATAGATATGTTTATGGACAAGGAAACAAACAAATATATAAATATAAGCAGCAATAGGTAGCACAAAGAGAAAAAGCAGGATAAAGTAGAAGAGGGTGACAGGAGAAAGCTATTTATACAGGATGGGTTAGGAAGGCCTCTAGAGAGAGTCAATATTTAAGTTCAGACCTAATGGATAAGAAAAAACAGATATACACATATGGTGAGAAGAGAGGCCAAGCTGTAGGACAGGACCACATATGCACAGGCTCTGAGATGAGCACAGTCCATCCAGACTGCAGGGCATGTGACAGGAATGTTGAGCTATTGGAAAAGGCTGTCAAATTCTTTGATATCGTTCATCATTTTTCAAGACAAACTATCTGAGCCAGGTAAATGGTTCCCCGTCTATGTTGTCTGATAATATTTTGTCCCATTACTTATTCTGTCACTGCATTTTCTGCCCATCACTAAGGTTGAGTCGGAGGCCTAAGGATGCATCAGAGCTATTGCAATATACATCCAGAACATGGAACAGATAAGGACGGGAGATCACAGATCTGGGAATCACCATCTGAGATCACCGAATGAGATCATTTAGAGATAGTCAATGTAAATTATATCCCTGTCATAACACAGATCTAATATATGTGGCTTTAGCATTGTAGCCAGGCAGCCGATATCCCTGTCATAACACAGATCTAATATATGTGGCATTGTAGCCAGGCAGCCAGCAGTGAAGAAACAGATGTTGCAGGCTGGAAAGCTGGAGAACTTTGTTATGCTTTGACTTACTTTTAGGTAAAACTGTCACTAGCAGCAACTTGGAAGGCAGGCCTGTAGCAACAGGGAAAGTGGGTAGAAGAAACCAGAGCGATGATGTGCATTGACTGCCTTTTGTTGATTTTTGGTCAGGTACTATGAAAAATAGTTGAAGTGAGATAAGAAGAACTAGTTTACAAGTAGATAATATAACTTTGGTATAAGATCTTTACCTGTGTCTTGTAGCTCAACTGCTTCTGTACTCCAAACAGCAGGAGATTATTACGCAGAGTCTTTCTCAAATTACTCAGCTATAAAAAAAAATAAAATCTTACCATTTATGACAACATGGATAGACCTAGAGGGTATTATGCTAAGTGAATTAAGTCAAACAGAAAAACAAACACCACATGATTTCATTTATATGTGGAATCCAAAAAACAAGCAAAACAGAAACAGACTCATACATAACAGAGAACAAATTGGTGGTCGCCAGATTGGAGGGGAGTTGGGGAGATGGGTCAAAAGAGTGAGGGAATTAAGAGGTAAAAATTGGCAGTTATTAAAATAGTCATGGGGATGTGAAGTACAGTGTGGGGAATATAGTTATTAACCTTGTGATAACTAAGTATGATGGCAGATGGGTACTAGAATTTATCAGGGTGATCACTTCATAAACTATACCAATGTCTAATCACTATGTTACACACCTGAAACTAATATAATATTGTATGTCAACTGTTATTGAAAAGTAATTTTATTATTTTATTTTTAACTTATTTATTTTTAATACTTTAATGTCGCCACATATTTGACCCCTTTTATCCCATCTACCTCCCTCATCCCCCCTCCTCCCTAACCTCTGGTAACCACTAATTTATAGTCCATGTCCATGAGTCTCTATTTGTTTGTCCAGTTTGTTTGTTGCTTTTAGGTTTATATCTCACATATAAGTGACATCATGTCATTTTCAACTTTTTCTGTCTGGCTTATTTTGCTTAGCATGATTATCTCGAGGTCCATCTGAAAAGTAACTTTTTAAATAAAGAGTCTCCATTAAGTATCACTGACCAGACAAGATCAAATAAAGATATTGCATTCCCACTTAAACTTATTGTTCCAGAAGGCTTCAAAGTGGCTGCTGTTACATTGAGGAATGGGGGTATGGGCCAAGCACAGAGACAAATAAGCAAGACGATGCTGGCTTAAGAACTGTAAGAATAGTCTTTTGGCTGTGGTTACTTTCATATGAACTAACTGAAAGCAAATAGAGCAGAAATCAATTGTGTTTTTGATGAAATTTTATCACCAATGTTGTGAGCACTCCTTACTCAGAGGTGCTACCTAACCCAAAATTTGATTTGGATGTCGATACTAATAACCACACACACATCAAGAGGGTACGAAAAGGTTTATTATTCACATAATGAGACTTTCTGGGAACAGCAAGGCGAGTCCCCAGACTTGACTGGCTTGGCTTTTATTGTTCTTAGGGTGTGAGTTTGGGGTGAGTGTTCCTGTGTGTGGGCCAGATGTTGTGTGATTTGATCTTCCCACATGGGCCAAAGAAGGAGGCACCCAGGCTTTCTAATCAGCTTGCCTGTCCAGATGTGGAGCTTAGGGGGAAAGGGGAATGAAGAGGCTTGAAAGCTGTCAGCAGTCAAATATCAAAAATGGAGTCAGCCTCTTTATCACGGCCAGATAAACTATAATCCTGGCCTAGAAAAGCCTGTTTGTTCAGTCTCTAAGGAAATCTAAGTCTACGAATCTGCATCAACAGGCAGAGGTCTGCAAAAGCTGTGATGCCTCCCAAAAGTTGTAGATGTGGCTTTGAGCTTGATGAACAAGAATTTCCTAGAAGTCAAACCAGGGACCACAGAAGAAAATGGAGAAGAGTTTCTCCCCGACAGCAGATTCAAGGTTTAATCAAGGATCTTATTTCCTGCCAAGGCAAGGGATCTTTGTCAGCCCTGCTCAGATTTTCATCATGGCATGGGCCATTGATGGCTATACATCATTCTTTCCTTTCACTATAGCATTCATTCTCCCCTTTTTCCTTTTTGTAACAGATCCCTTACCCTGGAGTCTTAGTAGAACACATGGAACAACATATGTTCATGTAGCTGGACATAACATGTCCCAGACTTCCTTGAAGGTGAGTATAGCTATGTAGTAAATAGCTATGAATGGACTATGAGCATAAGTGATGACTTGAAACTTCCTTAAAAGGAAATAGCTTGCTTCCAATGTCCTTTTCTTATATAAGCACACGGTGGATGTGCTTCTCTGAACCAGTTTTGACCACTACCCTTGGTAACAAGAGAACAAGGTAGATGAATCCTGGGGCCCTTGATCACCTTGTGAAACAGAGCTGCCCTCGCTGTCCTAGACTTCTTAACTACCTCTGGATAGCTATGTAAGGAAGAACCAAACTTCTGTCTTACGTGAGTGATCATATTTTGGAGGTGCCTAACACTTATACAAAAAATATAATTAAAATATTAAGAAGTTAAGCTTCTTTCCTTTTTATGATCCTAAAAATGTCTTCTCCTTATTCCTTTAGATTTTATCTTTAATGACAAGGATAACTAAAAAGTCTCAAATTTAACTGGCTGTAAGCAAGTAAGACCCTAAAACTACATGTGACCTCATGAATTCACTGTGCTGCTTTTCTTTTCCAAAAATCAACCTACAGAATACAGTCATTTATACTTTTTGGGCCTCAGTATAGGCATTTAGTTAATATAGATGTATGAATACCAACCAAATCAATAAACGAAAACTCAGATTGTTCCCCTTTTCCAACACATATGTCCATGTCCTATTTTTATCTACTCTCTGTGATCAATTAATCATAGATTATTGGATTAAGATAAAATGGATAAAGTAGACTTCATTTCCCATGATGTGATTCAAAGGTGATGTTGTTTTTCTCATTCTCATCTTCGTGTGACTCTGCTTCGGAACAGTTCATTGTGTTGCTAAGACACAAGGATGTCTTTCTGCAACAGAAAACTTTGAAGTCAAGGCACTTCAGCTGCTGCAAAGGATGTCACAAATAGTGTGTGCAGGGCCTTGTCCACAGTGTGACCTGTAGCACGTGATTCAGATAAAAATTATCACACTCATCCAGCACCCTCTCACAGAAAACTATGGCTCTTTCAATTACTTGTATTCTAAAATTAATAAAACAGTGTATGTGGGCTAAAAGTCAGGAAATCCTCATTCTACTAAGATGTATCTTTCTTAGAACCTCAAGCAAATAACTGAGGGGAGCTTGTCCTTAAATTCTAATTTGCCTTTATTCTACAAGACACAAGTTGAAAGAATATTAGAAGAAAGCAACATGAAATTATATCGTCAGTTGTTCCTTCACTAAAAATATACATTTCATCTAAACAAATGTTTGATTCTACCTGGTAAATAAGTAGGGTAGGTTTTATAGTCACTGAGACCTGTGATTCATATTTGGAATTTGAGTTCACGAACAGATGCAAAGAAGTCTGGTCTCCTCAGTGAACTTTTGATAAAGGCACAGAAAGCTCAGCAGTGATGTGAGCTGGTTTGCATCTCCAGGTTTGTCTAAGCAAACTGAACAGCTGCAGCAATATTCTTGTTTTAATACTGGTAACATCAAGGCAAGGACAGAGAAAATCAAAACAAAATGCTGGAACAGATTTTGAATTTTTTTTCTGACCTAAAAGAAAAAAGAATTGAAAACAGCATTTAACTAAGCTGAAAGGTATCTTTCACATCATGTACATTCTATTGCACAAGGATAAAATCCATCAAAAATAACATGAACAGATGAATAAAGGAGTGCGAGGCTCTGAGAGCTAGAATAGGCCTTGTTCAGAATCATCTCCCTCTCTTAAGAAATAATCTGGTGGAAAATAATGAGTAGGCAAAAGCAGGCGCTGGAGGATATGTTTTCCCAACCTTTGAACATCCTTTGTTTAAGAGTCACAGAAGTGACTGGAGACTGAGTTAACAGCATAGTATTCCTTTTTCAAGCAAGGGTCAAAAAGTACTCTTTAATAGAAATGGGATTATACAGTGAGGTCAAGATTTGTGCAGGAATCTTCATCTCCAAGTAAAAGTTTAGTCTAGCAGAATCAAATGAAACCCAGAAGACTTGTTTTTTTTTTTGAACTCTGGTGTTCTAAGCATAAAAAAGGAAATAGAAAAGAACACAGACCACTCTATTTTAATATTTTTAAATACCATAAATCATAATGATTTATATACTACACTGTACAATTATACATTGTTATTTTCCCAAAAAATTAACATCTTATCAGATTTTCTGAAACTATTACTCCACAGAGCCAAGAGTTTGACTCTTTAGCCATTGCTACAACACACAGAATACAATCTATGAGGTCCTAAGTCTTCCGGTTGTGCCTGTTGCTGCTGCCACTGAGGGAGGGGCCTCTCAGAGACCTCTTGTGACCTCTTCCATCCCCTGCGTCGGAAACAGGCTCTGCAGGGAGATGTGTGCCGATGGATGCAGTTTCTGTGCTTTGCTTTCCACAAGCCTACACCCCTCTAAGAGAACTTGCGCTTCTTCATGGCTTCTGCCTTGACTGCCAGGCTCTTGGCACAGATGGTCAGGACCACAATTAGAACGCCCACCACAAATGTCACCACGGGCCAGAGAAAGCAATGCAGGAGGACAATCTCATCATGCGTGCGATGCAGAAGCACATCATCTGGTCTGCAAGATAGTGGAAAATAGGAAGGAAAGAGGGGTCAACTGCCTTGGCATTGCACCAAAAACTCTTTACAACCTGGAGCCCAGCTTGCTTTCTGGACCAAAGGGCATAATTAAAAGTGAAGACCTCACTCTGACTATAAATACTGTACTTTGTGCTTCGAACCCATTACTGAAAGTTCTGAGGTCTTGATCAAGTAATTGCATATTATTTATAATGTAATTTACATGTTGCAAAATGCCAAAAGTGTAGCAACCTCTTATGCTATTGTTTCCCTCTATTCTAAATTGCTTAACATATTCCATTTTCTCACTTACCCTTTAATGTCTACTGATTAAAGTGGCATTCTCAAACAAACCCAAACTAGACCTCAGCACTTAGGTGAGTCCCAAATGATCTTAATCACACACACACACACACACACACACACACACACCCTTTAATGTCTACTGATTAAAGTGGCATTCTCAAACAAACCCAAACTAGACCTCAGCACTTAGGTGAGTCCCAAATGATCTTAATCACACACACACACACACACACACACACACACACACACGTCAGTTAAAGCCACTGTTTGAATTTAGATAGAACAACCTATGTGTAGCTTTCAGGTGGACTCAGCTTCACTACGTGAAGGTTTTTATTAATGAACAGGCAGATAAATGGATGAATTTAATACATTTTCCCATGCTTCTGGGTGGGATTAGCCATCACTTTAAAGCACTAACCATTTTCTTGATAAATTTTACAAAGTCTTAGCAATATATTTCCATCTTATCAATGAGGGGCTCTATTTTCAATTCCATCACTAGTCTTATTCACAGGAAATGAAGATGAGTTATGTTCCACAGCCACGATCTCTCATCTTTGGCCATTAGAGTGATCCTGGGAATCTAGCTTTCATATGAGAGGTTTACATTCTGCAAGATATTTCCATTTCATCCACTGGAAGGTTTGTTCTGTTATACTAGAGCAGCAGTGCTGCCTCCAGAAAAGAAAATTAGTTCAATTGCCTTCAAGAACACCAGAAGCTTTAGAGGACAGGGCAGTGCATTTTACAGAGAGATGCTTCCTGAGGAGCTCTCACGAATCATAGCTCTCATGATTCGAGACCTATATTCCCAGAAGAATGACAAAGAATGTTGAGTATACGGCTCTTCTACCTATAATGCAGCCATCACAAGGCATTAACAAGAAGTTGTTGCAGATTGGCTTTGAAAGTACACAATCCTTGTCCCTTTTTTGTGTGTAACACGATTTCAAACTTTGCACATAAAGTGTGATTTTTATTGATATTTTATTTCATGTTATTTCAATAAAAATGTGTACTAAGTGAATGCAGAGTCATTATAACAAGCAAAAATCATTCCAGCTTCCAGAAGTTATTCCTTTTCCTGAATTCCTATAGCAACAAGATTGTGCTATCATTAATCTGGGATATATATTAATATACATATCCTTGTTTCCTGTAAGGACCTTGACTTTGTCATTGCCTGTTATTCTACACACAGGTGTTGCTAAATAACTGCTTGCTACTGATGAAGGAGAAACTGTCACTGCTGCAGCCTTGTTATCCATGCAAACAGTGTAAGAAAGTAGAGGCCTAGGTCCAAAAATAATCAGGACATAATAGAGCTGTAGTCATATTTTACAGTCTTTGAAATCCCAACCCCCAGCACTGCCACGATTTGTTTCCCAGCTACGAGAACTCACGGCTGTCAGATACCTCAACCCCAATGTGCAAGGGAAGGTAAAAGCTGCTTCGGGATGACCTTCTTCCCTCTCTTCCTTCCTACCTTCACTTCTACCTACTTTCCTTCTTACCTTCCTTTCCCTTCACCTCTCTTCTCCTTCTGTCATGAACTGTTCTGCTTTTCCAGAATTTACTGGTACAAAGACAAACTAGACTCTTTGTCAAAAGAATGAGAGTGCTTAGTGTGAATATACTCACTACCACAGAACTGTACTCTTATAAGTGGTTAAAATGGTTCAACAATAACAACAAAAAAGGCAGCGGTAGGTGAGTGGGGAACATACTTATATTTTTAACACTATTTTACACTATTTTATATCTTTAACACTATGTAATTTCCATAAGTAATGTGATTTTGCACTTAATTTCCTAGTGAAATGCTTCAGTGAGTATAATGTTTTCTATTCTTCCTCTAGTCACTATTGTTGATGTTGAATCCTTTACCACAATACTGTACAACTGAGCTAGAAAATTAGCCACAGATGAAGGTGATTAGAAACATTACATCTTTTTTTCTGAAACACAATTTGAAGACCATTTACTAAAAAAGAATGTGAGTAAAAGGAGAGAAGGAGAGAAAATAACTGAAAAATGCTGGACCCAGATATTCGGTTTTTTTAGAAGCTTCTTGGCATTCCACCCTGTATCAAGAGCCCTTGAGGCAGAACTTTATTTTAATGTTTCAAATGACAAAAACATCTTTCACTTGAGTTAACTATGTTGAATTTGCAACCACTTCAAAAGCCTTCTCTGAGGTAAAAATATTATATAAAAATGTTCCCATTTCTTTAAAAATAATTAATGTCTGCTTCCATTTCACACAGTTCTAAGATACCCCAGTTTCATTCAATGGGAATGAAGGGTAGCAGAACATGCAACTTTGGCATAAGGACTATTTTTAGCTGAAGGCATTGAAAAGAAACAGATAAAAGAAAAGCTCTTCACCCTTTCCCTATTTGCCTAAAAGTAGCACATAAATTTGTAAGGTGTTTCCCCTCCTTTCTCTTCCAGAAAGGAAGTTCATCACTGGGGATAACCCTAGATGCTTATCGGCCCAGAGGTGGCACCAGAGAAATCTATATAACAAACCTTACTAACTAGCTTTTACCTTCCATTAGTTCCCCATATATTTATTTTCCTACAATATGCTGTCCTAGAAACTTAGAGTCTCTTTCCTTTGTCTTGTCATGTCTCTAAAATTTATTGCTTTTTAAAAAAAGATGGTATAAGCCCAAGTTCTAACTATTTCTCTGAGTTGCTCATCACTGAGTACTGCCACAGTGTGGATGATGCACATGTTAATAAACTTCTCTGTTTTTCTCTTGTTAATATATCTTTGTTGGTCTAATTTACCGTGCTTCATCCAATGGACCTCAGATGCGTACAGGGAGAACAGTTTTATCTCCCCGCAGAAAAAAACTTATTTCTCTGCACTATAATGCTTAAGTTCATCATTCACTTATAGGATTTATTGAGGTTATCTCTAAATTGATCCTCTCCACAGAATCAAAGTATGTCTAATTCAAACTGGGCCTTTAGTGCCTTAATTGAAGGCGCTCCCCTGCCTCAGTTTCCTCCAATTTCATTAGGCAGCTTTCGGATGGGTTAGCAAAAGTTATTTGCGAAGGAGTGTTGGCTTAGAATTCAGTTTTTCAAAATTCCATGATGGTGGGACTGAAGAGGAACTTTAAAAAAAAAAATCACTCTTTTTAGCATTTGGCAAACTGGATTAATGGCCTGATGAGATCTGAATATGATGTAGTAACATCAGGATAGTGATGAGGACATAAGCAATAAGCAAAACAAAGATGATTACTCTGTATCCAAGGACTTCAAAAAAGTAAGCAAGGGCTCTCTTTTGGGGTATGTAGAAACACTAATGGAAAACACTTTTTACTCCTGGTGTGGGGGCGGTTACAAATATCATAAACAAAAGAGCTGTGGGTACCCTTAGAAATATTTTCCTAAGGGTTGGTCCTACCCTGAGTCAAGCTTTGAAAGAACATTGTGATAATAACAGCATTTACTACCCTCCAGGTGCTATGGTAGGTCATTTAATCTCACCTGATCCTTAAAATGAGACTGTGCTGAAAGAATTTTTTTCATTTTACAACCAAGGAAACTAAGGCAAAGAAAGATTAGTTTGCCCAAGATTACACATCCTTCAAATAATGACACAAATAATGAATAACCATATCTGTATGATTATTAAACCTGTACTATCTACCCCTCAGCTAGCTTGTCTCAAATTCACATCACTTCTGGTGTTTGTTGAAATGCAGCTTCCTGGGTTTCAACCCTTGGTTATCTATATCAGAATATGAGGTTGTGAGGTCCAGACATCTCTATTTTCGAGACGCTCCTGGGTGATTTTAATACATGGTAAAGTTTAAGAAGCACTGTGTAAAGTTCTAATAGTTTAAAAAAATTCATGTGAAACATGAAGCTATTTAACTGGCTATTTCTGAAATTGCCTAATTCCTTCTTATGTCCAGATCATTTTCATGGCCTCCACAAGCTTTTGTGCAGAATGTGCACTGCATAAGCGTTCCCTGAGATGAGACAGGAGAGCGGGCTGAGGGTCATGGGGGTAAGGGTAGGGAGTAGGAAATCCAGACCCTGATGCTAGAATTTGCCAGTGGGAGCCTTTTGTTCTATTTGGCAAAAAGGCATCCCATATGCTGGCAGCAGATCTAGTTAAACCAAATAAAGACACAGAGATTTCATGTATGTTATCCTAAATATAAAAAATAAAACTTGCAGATAACAGAATGGTGGTTATGAAAGGGGAAGAGATGGGGGAAGGGTGAATTGGATAAAGGAGAACAAATATATGGTAATAGAAGGAAACTAGACTTTGGGTGGTGAGCATGTAATATTGTATTATATAGATATTGAATTATAATGTTGTACACCTGAAATTTATACAATATTATTAACCAATGTTACCTCAATAAAGTTAATAAGAAAAAAATTATTAGAAAATATATTCCCTTTGTCTCATCAAATTAGATTTCTTCTATCCCACGATGCTTATTCTATTGGCTAATGGAGAGAAAGGTGACCTTTTTTTTAATGGTCTGAAAAATATTTTACACTTAACCAGTTCATGTAAAAATCTGAACTGCATTATAATTTCGTAGTATCGCATGATGGTAACTATACCTCAAGAGACAAGATGATCTATTATTATAATTTCGTAGTATCGCATGATGGTAACTATCTATACCTCAAGAGACAAGATGA